GAGCAGAGTAGAGGGGCAGGATCACCTCCTTTGACCTGCTGATCACGCTCCTCTTGATGCTTGACTATTCTATGATCCACAGCCCTTCCTGCAGGCCCTGCCTCATTCCCTACCCACGCTCTTCCGCAGCAAGCACAGCGGTCCTACACCCAACCCTGCACAGCCCAAGTCATACCCAGAAAACCTTTCCTCAGTGATCATCACATCCTGGCAGCCCAAGGCTGCCTCATAACATAAAAGCAAAGCAAGCTTGGATGTCCTACCGTGGGAAAGACCAGCTATTCCCACCTGGAAAGGTGCTGCTTTCCTGCTCCTGGTGCAGGCAGCTGTGCCCAGGGTCACCCAGGGCTGTGAGCGGGGCTGGGGCAGTGCTCCAGCTGGACCTGCTGCCCGCGCAGTGGGGCAAACACTTCCCACCTCCAAACAGTGCTCCAGAGGGAGCTTCTCCCCTGCACAGCCACCACTGCCACAGTGGCCCAAGGTCCCTGCTGGGTTCAGGTCTTCTTCTGTAGATCTGGCTGCAAGCTGTGCTCAGCTTTGCTTTTGAATTCTTGGACAAGCAGAGGCAGTTGCTGAGGCTTAGTGCGGAGCACATACCTGGTGATGTTGTGGGGTTACATCCCTCCTTGTAAACCCCGGCAAGCAGGGGACCTCTCCCAGGACAGAGACAACGGCCCCATGGACCCTCATGCTCCTTCACTAAGCAGTTCCCTCCAGGACCCTTTCCCAGTCCCCTCTCGAGCAGCTGCTTTGCCTCCAAAGCTCTCCTGTGTGGGAGCTGGCTCTCCTGCCCATTCCCTTTGCCCATATAGCAGCCCTGGGGTCTCTGGCAGCAGCAGACAAGGACTCGGCAGCAGCATTTGGTTTGTCCAAAGCATTCAAAAAAATGGGATCCAACGATGAAAATCTCCCCCACACCCCACCCCTGCACCCCCATGCACGCTACTCCCAGGGCAACGTGCTGCCCCGGGTGCTCTTTGCTTTGCCAGAGACCCTCCTGTGGGTCCGGGCCACCCCATGTACCCCAGACCCTGCCCGCCCCCAGCACCAGAGCGGCATGTTTTTGTTGCAGGGTCTGAGCGAACACCCCTGTCACCAGGGCAGGGTTGTATTTGTGGCTGCAGGACTGCAACTGAGGAAGGCTTCACAGCGCCCTCCGCCTGCGTGGCTTTCCAGGAGACCTGCCCTCCACGGGCACCTCATCTGCTTGGGTGGGCTCAGAGGATTATGCCCCGGGATGCCTAAAAGGATGACTGGAGAGGATCCACTTGGGAGCTCACCTCCCGAAGGTAAAAGAGAGCAAGATCTTTGCACAGAGCCCTGTGCCCGCCTGCTCCGAGCAGCCAGCTGGGTAACAGAGGAGGACTGTGGCACTCTGTGCCTCTATTTTCTTGCTGAAACAAGGGGGATCTGTGCTCGCCCTGAGCCCGAGCCAGGCTATGGGAGGGTAAGGAGGGCTGCAGCAGCACCCTGGGACTCTCCCAGCTCTGCCTGGGGATAGGGGTTGGAGAGGGGCCCTCCAGCCCCCCACCCTGGGAAAGGAGCATCCCTCCACCCTGACTGTGGCCCACAGCCCCTGCAGCCCCTTCAGCCCCCCTCCTCCCACCTCTTCTCTTCTGCTGGCAGCTCCTTTGAGTTGAGACCAAGCTGAGACACAACCTCCTGGCAGAGAGGGAGGATGGGAGCGAGCAGCAAGGGAAGGCTGCCCTGCAGAGCCCCACAGCTGGGGACAGACCAGCCCAGCCTGATGGGTATCACTTGGTGTCCCGAAGGAGACAGTGCCTGATGGGTATCACTTGGTGTCCCGAAGGGAAGGAGAGAGGGGTCACAGCACCCTCCCCATCTCCTAGCAGACAACATACCTGTGGTCTCCATCCTGCAGAAGATAACTCGGGTGCAGAAACCCAGGTTGCTACTGAAAGCAAGGAAGGTGACCATGCTCCATGGCCCAAGCCAAGGACTCCTGCCCCCAAAATGGGAAAGCATCTGTAGCAGGTGGGTGGCACTGGGAAGGACAGTGCCTGTCCCCACGTAGACCAGACACCCCCATGACAGGCTCTTCCCTCACCCTTTGCTTCCACGGTGCAGTTCAGCCTCTTAGACAGGAGCAAGGACAGAGCACCTGAGCAGATGAAAGTTATAGAGACTACCATCAATAGACAGAAACCGACTTGGATCTGTGGTGATTTTGATCCTTTCAAAAAAAGACCCCTTGGCACAATGGGCAGGTCTGAGGAGAGCTGTGCATCCTTCTTGGGATCCCCCACCTCCCTCAGGGGGTGAGGCTGCAGTGGTGGAAGGTAAGGCAGCACCCTGCTCCCCTAGTGCAGCTGAATGCCAAAAGTTGGCCCTTTTTTGTTGGGGCAAAGCCAGCCATGGCTTCCAGAAAGGACCTGCAGAGTGAGAGGAGCTGTGCCCAACCTGCTTTCCCTCCACCCTGCTCACTGCTAGCCCTTCCCTGTCATCTCCCCATGGTACCTGGTGTAGAGGGGCAGCCCAGTACCTTCTCCTCTCCCAGAGCATATCTCAACGTGTCTCAAAACAAGACAACCTCTTCTACTGGAAAGCAGCCCCCCAAATCCCTGCAGAGCAGCTGAGCCTGGGCCAGAGCCCCAAGGCACAACCCCACAGAGCCACTGTGGGATTGGGCCAGCCCAGGGTGCTCTGACTTGTGGGCTGGATCCCAGCTCCATCCTGTCATAGCCCCTGTGTAGAAACAGCTGTTCCACAACCAGCTGCCTTCCTCCACTCCTGCCCAGGCAAGAGGAGTCTCTCAGTTGCCCAGCCCAGGCTCAAAACGCCCTGGCTGTGGAGGAAGAGGATGTGGCTCTGCTCTTCAGTAAGGGAGAAAGCTAACACAGGTCTCAGTCCAGTGGTCGCTTGCCCTGGGGCAGAGGTCCAGCCCTCCTGGATCTAGGCCTGCACCCTGAAGAGGAAGGATTTGAGCCTCCCTGCTCCGTCCCTCTGCAGGAGCAGGAGGCTTTGAGCCAGGTAGAGGTGTGGGAGGCAGATGACAAGGACCTTGCTGTCCTGCATCAAATGCCCTCCTCTGTTCTTTCTCACCTCCGTCTCCATTTGGCAATGACTTCATTTTTTTTCAATTATTAATCACCTTGCTGCAATAGTGGCTGGATTAAATCCATTAAACCTCCTCTGGGACCAGCCCCAATGGAAGACGCAGGTTTCCAGAAAGTACATTAGAGAGAAGGCAGACTGGGAGACGAGACAAGCTGGAGGTGGCCTCACTGAGCAGTGGAGCCTGCTTCCCGTCAGCCATGCACTTGATAACCCCAGCACAGCCATAAGTGGGGCTGGCATGGCAAATGTTTTGACTGAAAAATAAGCCACAGAAGTGAGTTATGTACGGAGAATGATTTAATGGCTTGCACAAGAGCTCCTGACAGCCCACATGCTCAGCAATCCTTCCCAGGTTGCCCCATCACCCCTAGCAGCAGCAGGGAGGGTGGTTCTGCACAGATGTTCCCCACCAGTGCTGGCAAGACCACTGTTTTTGTATGTCCTGCTTTAAGGATGCAGGAGGACAGCACAGCCCTTTTGCCATCACTAACTGGGAGCAGACCCAGAGTTTTCAGTCTTTTTGCAAATACACTGAATTTTCTGAATTTTGAAGAAATGCTCCAAGTTCTGGCAAAGGTCCCAGTGAGAAATTCACCTCCAGAGCGGGATGGGATTCCTGGTCAGAACTACAGGAGCTAGCACAGCTAGCAATTCACTGAGTTGAAAGAAGGCAGAAATAAGGTCCCAGCCCAAAGCTCTGCTAAGTGAAGGGACCAGAGAATCAGTTTATGCAAAGCACAGCTTAGCATCGATCTGCCAGCTGCTCAGGGGATGCAAAAACCTTTTCCTGCTTCTTTCCTTGTTTTTCAAATATGTGTAACCAATTTTCGCCTCTGCCAGTGGTAGCACAGAAATGACCCATCCTTCTTGCTGCTGTCTGCCTGACTGCACACCACACCAGAGCGTCTCATCCACAGCCAGGATGACACGAAAGAGGAAGGCCCACACAACTCTCTACAGGCTGCCGGCCATCCTGTCCACACCAACAGCCCAGGAGGGCCTCCTGCTCCCCTCCTCCCTGCCCCAGGCAGGGCTGCAAAGCCCCAAACTACTCAAGGCCAGGTTGGACGGGGCTTGTCGAAACCTGCGCTAGTGGAAGGTGTCCCTGCCCGTGGCAGGGGTTGGAACCAGGTAAGCTTTAAGGTCCTGTGCAACCCAAACCGGTCAGTGGTTCCGTGAATGCACCCATACGTGAAGCGAAGTCTGGGAAAATGTCGCAACACAGGATGCCAGGAGCGCAGCTCAGCCCTCACGGTGCACGCGGGGTCCTGAACCCGGGGAGAGGCAAGAAGGCGGCGGGACGATGGAAGGATGGGCTGCCCTGGGCAGGCTGCGGAGCACCGCTGCCGCATCCCACTGCGAGGCCGGAGCAGGGCTGGAGCACAGCAGGAGCCGCGCAGGCCGCATGTCGGGGCTGTAGGACCCTCGAGGCCACGCCCGGGCAGGCTCCAGCCGCACCGCGCCTCCCGAGCCCCAAGGGGCTCGCTCAGTCCCGGGGCTGAGCCGGAACCGCGGCCTCACCGCCCCGCAGTCCGGCCCGAACCCCAGCTGCGGAGCGGCAGGGGCGGTGCCCTCCCGGCACAGCAGGATGGGCCGGGCCGGGCCGGGCCGAGCCGAGCCGAGCCGAGCCGAGCCGAGCCGAGCCGAGGCGCGCTGCGGGCGGGGCCCAGGCCAGGCCAGCCCGGGGCCGTCCTTTAGGGGCGGGAGCCGGCGTTGAGCGGCGTCTGACAGAGCCAATGAGCTCGGCACAGGTCACGTGAGCGGGAGCCGGGCTGGCTCTCCCGGGGGCTCACCCCCGAGTGGCAGTGCTGGTGGCCAATGAGAGCGAGCGGGCGGGACGGAGGGCGGAGCCACGCGGCCGAGGCGGTGTAGGCAGGGCGCGCCCGCACGTGAGTGGCAGGTGGGCGGGCCAATGGCGCGGGGTCCGGCCAGCGGCGGCGCCGAGCGGAGCGGAGCCGAGGGGTGGCGAGGGCGCGGCGCGGCCGGGGCGGCGGCGGGGCCATGGACCGCGTGAGCAGCTCCATGAAGCAGGTGTCCAACCCGCTGCCCAAGGTGCTGGGCCGGCGGGCGGGCGGCGGCGGGCTGGAGGCGGAGAGGGAGAGCTTCGAGCGTGCCCAGGTACGGGGTGGGGCCGAGCGCGGGGGGCGGGGCCAGCAGGTAACTGGAGCCGGTTTAGTGCCCCGCGGGGGGCGGGGTCAGCGAGGAGGAGCCGCAAGGGGCGGGGCTAGCGCGAGCTGGCCGCCAGGAAGGGGTTGCCACAAGTGGGCGGGGCTTGGCCGGTGGGCGGGGCCGCCCAGGTGCGCTGTGCAGGCTTCAGTGGGCGGGGCTGCCCCAGGTAAGGGAGGTGCTGGGGGCGGGGCTGCCTGGCTCCGCCCCCCCGCGGACGCGGGCCCGCTGCCATGGCTGCCAGGGAGGGTCAGCGCTGGCCCGGCGGCGGCGAGCATGGTTCGGGCCGGAGGCACGTACGGGCTGGCGGGGGTCGCTGCTGGGGCTCGGCCTGGAGCCCTGTAACCTGGAGCCCTGTAACCTGGAGCCCAGGCCTCTGCTCCATTTTGCGTCCTCTCGGAGCCACCCGGACAGCCTCTGCCTCCGCTGGCTGCAGACTTCGCGGGGCGGTTCCGTGCGTGGTTGGTCGACCCTCTGAGTGCTGCTCTGGGACCCCCTGGAGTGCGCAGGGCGAGGGGCAGGGTCTGCCTTGCCCACGGCTCTGGGGCAGTGGTACCGAGGTGTGGAAAAGCACGTCCAGTTTGCTCCTTAGCAGCATCCGGAGTGTCTGGATGGGGCCCTTCTGTCTTTCACTTGTGTTTTCAATGATGGCTCGAGGTGGCAGAGCTGGGGGAGTAGAAGGGGTGTTTTAGGGGAAAACCTAGAGATTTAGGGAATGGATGTGCTTGGAAGCAACTGGGAAGCTGGGCAAGTCCCAGCAGGGTGAGGAGTGGTGGATGGCAGCAGAAGAAGCTGGGGACAGCTCAGCCCTGTTTTGTGTCCAAGGCTGGAAAGTAAAGGTGAAGTGATGCTGGCCTGAACTCCCGCAGCAGAGGAACGGAAATAGGCAGGAGAGGGGCAGAGGTGGTGGCCAGCAGGATCGGCTGCTCTGGGAGCCGTAAGGGGGCAGTAAGGGGGCACGACCCAGATGAGACCAGAGTGGGAATGGCAAATGCATGATGGCTTGGTAATGAACATAAAGACAAATGAGACCAATCTGAGGGCCTCCTTTACAGAAGGAAAGACGTCATGATTTAAGGGTGGATGTGAGACTATGCCCATGAGGTGTTCACAGAACCACAGGCTTTGGGTTGGAAAGAACCTTAAAGCTCATCCAGTTCCAACCCCTGCCACGGGCAGGGACACCTTCCACTAGAGCAGCTTGCTCCAAGCCCCTGTGTCCAACCTGGCCTTGAACACTGCCAGGGATGGGGCAGCCACAGCTTCTCTGGGCACCCTGTGCCAGCGCCTCAGCACCCTCACAGGGAAGAGCTTCTGTCTAAGAGCTCATCTCAGTCTCCCCTCTGGCAGGTGAAAGCCATTCCCCTTGGCCCTTGTTCAAAGCCCCTCTCAGGTTTTGTCATGGGCCCCCTTTAGGTACTGGATCTGTCCCTCAGGAATGTTGGGAGAAGACACTTCCTGTCTAACATTTATCCAGAAAATCGAAAAAAAATATGCACTTCATCTTCTTTGACTGCATTTTTTTCTGACAAAGTCATCAGGTAGCAAAGAGAAACACGGTCTGCTTGGGTTGTCCATGGCCACCACCTTCTCTTGCATGTTTGCACACTGGGTTCTTAAACTTTGTGTTACTGCTGGACAAGTAACAAAGGCACTTTATGACTCACAAAGTACCCTGGAGAGACATATTTTAGCAGAAGGTTTTTAAGGTACTCATCCTTGAGCCCTCTCACCACTATATCTCATGGGCTGGAAAGCTGTTTTCCTTCTGCTGCTGCTGCTGGAGGTGCCCTCACAAAAACCAAGTGTACAGACACCATGCAGAGGAAAAAAATGTATCTGCCACAAAGTGATGTCAAATGAAATGGGCTGTTGGGTTTTTTTCCTTCCCCAGTGTGGTTAGTAAATCCTTTCGATGTGGGAACCAGCATTTTTCATAACTAAATACAGGTTGAAAGCAGCTTTGAGCCTATCCTCATCCCTGCAATGGGCTGGGCCACCTTCAAGGCACAGTTGCAACCCAACTGCCACCATCAATGCAATTAATCCTTTTCCTCCATTGTTTACCTAATGGGGAATATGGCACCATATCTGCCCTCCACAGCAGCCGCACTGGTTTCAGACCAGCTCCAGCTCCAACTGGCAGTCACAGAGGAAATACCATTTTACTACTGAAAAAAATAATTTTTGTGGTTCGGATGCTGCAGCCACCAGCAGCTTTGCCAAGAACTTCAGTTCTTACACAGGAAATGAGGCTCCTTTGAAAGCACCAGAGTGGGGATATATATATATATACACATATATATAGCTTCTCTGAAAAGATATTTAAAGAAACATATTGACACTAGCAAGAACAGGAAAAAATAGCTCCTGGCTGTGGGGAGTGAGGGCTGAAGGCAGCTGAGCCCACCCTGGGGGAGTGGGTGATAATAGTGGATTAATTCACAGCTCTTTCATCTCCAGGAAAATGAGCTCCTGTGCCCTGTGCTGTGTGAACCCCCATGCTTTCAGTCTCCTGTCTTTTAATTGGAATTAGAGGTGCCTGGGATTGAAAGCAGCTTCAGCAGCAAAGAAATGAGTCACCTCATCTCTTTTCAGCAGGTCCCTTTTAGGAACCTATTTCCATCTCCAGGGAAAGAAAATAGTTCTTCTTTTACCAGATTAGGGGCTGCTTTTCTTTTTAGGGCAATCTGGAGTGGAAGGGTTTGGGGGCTTTTTAAATATATGCAGAATATATATATGACAAGCTGAGAGAGCTGGGCTGGTTCAGCCTGGAGAAGAGAAGGTTCCTTAAGGGGAGACCTCAGAGCAGCTCCAGTGCCTGAAGGGGCTACAGGAAACCTGGAGAGGGGCTTTGGACCAGGGCCTGAAATTTTGGCTGAAGACTGAGAAACCAAGGATGGGAAGAAGGTGCCTGTTGCAGCTCACAGCACATGGGTGTGACATGGGGCCAGGCTGAGCATCGTCTGCTGCAGCACCATCCAGCACGCAGGTACCCCAGTGCCTGCGCATCAATACCCCATCGCCTGCATCACTCCAGTGCTGTTGTGGCTGGAGGACTGGAATGGCTGCCCCAGCCCATGCACAGGTCCTGAGCTCAACAGGCACCCAGCTCCTCAGACCCCTGTATTTCTGAGCTAGAAAACTGAATGTATTTGTAACTCGAAGCAGGAAAGACCAAGAGCAGTGGATAAAGCCAGAGGATGCTGCATCTTTGCAGGCTTGTTCTTGCACAAACCTGACACTTCAATTTCAAAAAAAAAAAAAAAAAAAAAAGGTTATTTTTTATAAAGAAATAGGTTTGAATTCAGAATATTGACAACTATGTTTTAAAAAACATACTCTGCTGGGAGGGCTGGTGAGGATGGCTCAGGGACATCCCGGTGCAGGCAGGAGAAGCTTTGCAGGCAGCCCCGTGGCTCAGCCTTGGACTGGTGCTGGCATGGGGGTACAGAGAATCGACTTAAATCCCCTCTGTCCTGAAGAGATTCAGTCTCTCCCTGCTTTCCCCTGGGGTGACCCATGCTGGGGCGTTTGGGACGGGAAAGCAGCACTCAGAGAGTCACAGAGCTGCACGGGGCTGGATCCTGGCCCCAGTCTCTGCCACCAGCTTGGCTGATTCATTTGACACAGTCACCAAACTTCCTGGGGACAGGCTGTTCCCTGTGACAGCAACCAGCAGCGCAGGCGGTGCTAGCCTGGATGCAAGTCCCAGCCCCTGGCTGGACTAATTACACATTGCGTGCTGTTCCAGGCTGATCACAGCAGAGGGAAAATGATCCTGGTCCACATGCAGAAGGTGAAGTTACTTACTCAAAGGGATATACAGACATTTAATATTGTATGATGGGCTCACAGTGGTTTGGTTGGAAGGGATCATAGAATCATAGGATGGTTTGGGTTGGAAAGGACCTTAAGATCATCCAGTTCCAAACCCCTGCCATGGTCAGGGACACCTCCCGCTAAACCATGTCACCCAAGGCTCTGTCCAACCTGGCCTTGAATACTGCCAGAGATGGAGCATTTACCACTTCTCTGGGCAACCTGTTCCAGTGCCTCAGCACCCTCACAGTAAAGAACTTCTTCCTTATATCCAACCTGAACTTCGCCTGTTTAAGTTTAGACCCATTTCCCCTTGTTCTGTTGCTACAGTTGGAGATGCTTGATCCTTGAGGTCCCTTCTAACCTGGTATGCTGTGATTCTAAGAAAGGGTAGATTCAGACTAGATAAAAGGAAGAAGTTTTTTATGACGACAGTGGCAAGCCACTGGCACAGGGTGCCCAGAGAAGCTGTGGCTGCCCCATCCCTGGCAGTGTTCAAGGCCAGGTTGGATACAAGGGCTTGGAGCAAGCTGCTGTAGTGGAACGTGTCCCTGCCCATGGCAGGGGATTGGAACTGAAGGAGCTTTCCAGGTGTCCTCCAACACAAAGTGTTTTATGATTCTGTGTGGGATCCACAGCTTCTCCGGGCAACCTGTGCCAGTGTCTCAACCACCCTCACTGTAAAACTTTTCTTGCCTATGTCCTGTTTCACACCCATGTTCCATTTAAAACTGTTTCTTAGCACACAGGGGTTCCTTTTGTAACCACAGAATTTCAGTTCCTTCTTTGGTGGGATATCTCTCCAGCTTGACATCATGCTAATGGAGAGCACATCATGTGGGTTGGTTGTGGTCATGGTTGGTGTTTTGCCGCAAGGATGGGCTTAGCCTTGTGGCTGCTGCAGGTTATAGCCCTGGCCATTGCTTGCTACATCTTCAGACCAGCACAGAAGTGACCCTGGGTGGTCCCCATCCCCACCGCAGGATCTGAGGTGGGTACGTCCTTCACTATGTCTTGGAGTCTGTGCCCTCTCACAGGGCTCAGTGCTCACTTGCTGCTTCCTTCTTGCCCTGCCCTTGCCAGCTGTGCTGGTTTGGTGCTCAGACCAGCAGATGCCATTGCATTCTGTG